TTAGCAAGTTATTATTGGAACAAGGTCTTACTGTCTTGTATTAAAAGAATCTCGATAATTCCAATGACTTCTGCACCAGGCATTTATTTAACCTCCTCTTAGAAAATGGGAGCAATGTCATTTAACTTTCCTATGCATGGAATAATGTTTATACACCTTGATTTATAAAAAGATAATGATATGCCATTATGAATTTATTATTATTATAAATTTCAGTTGATATTCAACTGTTTGAAATCAGACATCTTTCTCTTTCACAGGAAGAGCTATTCCACTGACAAAATAAAGGATAAAGGCATGCCTATAAAATCAGTTACATGTAAAGCAGTAAGAGTTAAAGAGAGGGTAGTAAATCCATTGGAGATCACAAATTTTTCTGTCTTCAGGGAGGAATATGATATTTTTAAAAGTACTTCTTCATTAGGAAAGGTGGCAAGCCCCAAAATAAAACAGCCTGCTGGTATAGGAAGGACATTGAGATGCTGGAGAGGGTGCAGAGAAAGGCAGCTAGGCTGATTAGGGGTCTGGAGAACAAGTGTTATGAGGAGAGGCTGAGGCAGCTCGGGCTGTTCAGCCTGGAGAAGAGAAGGCTGAGAGGAGATCTCATTGCTTTCTACAACTGTCTGGAATAAGGCTGTGGTGAGGTGGGTGTTGGCCTCTTCTCCCTAATGACTAGTGATAGGGAATGGGGTCAAATTGTGCCAGGGGAGGTTCAGATAGGATATTAGGAAAAATTTCTTCACAGAAAGAGTGGTGAGGCATTGGTAGAGGCTGCTCAGGGAGGTGGTGGAGGCACCATCCCTGGAAGTGTTATAAAAACAGGTAGATGTGGTGTTTTGTGTAACTGTTTAGTGGTCACAGGGATGCAGGGCTGATGGTTGGACTTGATGATCTTGAAGGTCTTTTCCAACCTTAATGATTCTTTGATTTTATACTTACAATGCACATTTTGATTAATGAGTCAGGACTTAAATTGCCAAAAAACTTCAGTAAAATGGAAGATTTAAAGTTTTTCTTCCTTGATTCTCAGGAGCGATAGCATTTCATGTCCCCATTGTTAAGCTTTGTTGTATAGCAGTGAGAACCACAACTCATCTCCTGAGATCACCTGAGATTATCAAGAAACACTCTGGTGCCCATAACAAGGGCTCTGAGTGAAGTTTGAAGTATAAAAACACTAGCACTAACACTGAGGAAATCACAATGTTATCCCATACCTCTTTCAGAAAATGATCTGGGCATCCTGGTAAACAGCTGAACATGAGCCAGTAATGCACCCATTTCTACAAAGGTCAGCAGCCTCCTGGGCTACACTAGGAAAAGCATTGCCAGCAGGTGGAGTGAGATGATCCTTCACTTCTACTCAGCACTGATCAAGAACATTTAGAGTAATGGGTCCAGTTCTGGGTTCTCCAATTCAAAAGAATCAGGAACATGCTGGAGTGCGACCAGCAATAGGCCACAAATGCAGTTAAGGGTTCCTTGAAGAATAGACAGAGAGCTGGGACTCTTTAGCCCAGAGAGGTATCAAGAGGGATCTCATTAATATGAGAAGAAGCACAGAAAATGGCACCAGGCTCTTCAGTGGTAACCAGTGAAAGGAGAAGAAGCAACAGGTACAAAATGAAATGCAGGAAATTTCCTTTACAACTAAGAAAAAGCTTTTCCCTACTAGAGTGGTCAAACACAGGTACAGGTTACTCAAAGAGGTTATGGGCTTTCATCCTTAGAATATTCAAAACCCTGCTGGACATGGCCCTGAGCATCCTGCTGTAGTTACAGCTACTTTGAGCAGGCAAGTGGACTAGTAGATCTCCAGAGGCAACTTCCAATTGCAACTATTCTGTGATTCTGTTGCTCTTCACTGTCTAAAGCTGAACTTAATTTTTTCACCTGTCTGAAAAAAAAATCTGTATCGAGTTTCTTTCCAAATTGCTTAGTACCTGACTGGTTCTATCACTACTGGACATAACTTAAAGAGGTTAGAAATAAAATATAAAATGGATTTTTCTGAAGAAACATATGTGAAAACTTTGGCACCTGCAGGAGAGAAAGGATGTAAAGGCTGCTGTCTAAGGGATGCTTAAAAAACCCACACATAGTAGTGTCCAAAGACTCATTAATCCCAGGTTATAGCAGAAAAGCAGAGCCAAAGAGGCCAATTAGATAGCAACAAACTTATTCTAAAGCCCATTTGGTTAAAGAGAGCAGTAAAGCTACAAAGTTCTACCTGTTGCCACCTCCTTCTGAGTCTTCATTGCAATATGCAACCAATGTCAGTAGTCACAGTTTTAGAACCATTACCCATTCCTATAAATGAAGGAAGGTGTCTTTTGTTAGGATATCTGAGGTCTGTGTGAGGAGCTACTATTTCTCTACACCTTCCTACCAGAGAGATCTGTGTGAACAAATAACTACAAAGCAGGTAGTATTGTTTTCTTCCCTTTCTCCCTCTTTGCATAGAAGAAAGGTGATCAAAGCCACACACTTTCTTTTTACACTTCATATGTCTAGTTTCCAGCTCCCCAGAGACAAACTCAATAGCAAGAATATATTGTAAACCCTTGATTGGTTCACTGCTATTTGGACTGATGCATCCAAAACTCAAAAGAAGACCTAGCCAAAATAATTTCTAATAAATAATTCAATCAGGTGTAGAGAGCCAAGTGCCCATTCTTCTGTGGGCTACCAAATGCCAGGAGTCACAGTTCTTTCTTAGTGCTTGGTAGCCCATAATTAGCACAGCCCTAAAGTGAGGACTATCATTTTGCATTTAAAATTCCTTCATTTGGGAATTAAAAGGGCAGATTATTTTGTGAAGCACAGCCAAGATAAATCTTATTATTTAAAACAAATCTTTATAAGTATTTACAAATGTAATGAAATTTCAAGCATGAAAGCAAAAGGGAAATTTTTTACATTTCAATTCCAGCACTGTAAAGAAAATTCTTACATGCTTAAATTTCAAACTCCATGTGTCAAGTAATTTTACTGTCACAGACTTGAATTACCTGTATTGGCCTGAGGACACTATTCACTCTCTGAGAAAAATTGTACTTTAATATTGCTATGACTTTCCCAAGTAATTTTTATGCAGAAGTCAGGATGGATTTGAAACATCCATTTCAATATTAAAGTAGACAACATTTGGTGACTGCAGAGAACCATGTAATTGAGAATTGGGCTTAGGGATGTGCCCAAAATTAAATACGGGAATGAGAAAAAAATACTAATAAAAGGACGAATGCTTTATTTCTTTGCTTAACTTTTGGGATGTGGACATTAAATAAGAATATAAAATACAAATAAAACCTTACTTCAACAATGTTTAGATACATACACTATATTGAACACTTACACTATATGGAAAGACCATGAAATTGTTGGCCACTGTACCAGCTCATTTAATAATTTCTGTCACATGCAGGAGGAAAGATATTCCCATTTGGTTTTAATGGATCCATTTTTGGAAGCACTGAATTATTAATCTCTTTTAGGGATTATCTGCAGCCTGATCATTTGTTAACTTCATAGGAAGTTGGGGGCTGGATCCAGAGCATGCTCTGACAAGGCTTAACTCCATAAGAGAGCCTGAAGCGAACTAAGGAGTTCCATCATTGACCTAGATAGGTCAAGAAAGTAATGTACAAATAAATGTCCTTACCTAAAATTGTATATTAAAAATCTTTCAGCAGCATGCTTCCAAGTGAAACTCTGGATGAATTGGTTGTCTTGTGAGCATACGGCTTCAAAGAAATGGGCAGGTAGAAAAACTGATGCTTTTATAGAATGGATTCTACCAGTAAAATAGGGTAATGGGTAGTACCCATTGCTTTTATTACGTAAATAATGCTTATTGTAGGATAATGGATGAAAAATTTTACTATGTTGAAAAGTCGTAGGACTTATTAAAGAAAGGAAGTGAACAGATTAATTCTTTTCTTGAAGACTTCCCAGATTAATTGTCTTACTATTTGTATCAAGGTGGAGCCACTTCATTACAAAATCAACCATAAGTGTTGGTGTCTTGATTAGTAATTTCAAGGTAACTAGTTGTCTTGATAGCAAATCTTCTTTAGCTCTCTAAGAATCTCATTGCCAGGTTTTTCATTATAGTAAAATACTGATTAATGAAGTATTATGAGGTTTAGGATTAACTGTTGAGCATTAAGGGAATTTATCTTCTAACTGAGTGGGGTTAGAGGAAGATGCCATGGGAGGTTTTAACAACTCAAGTGGGGATAATGCAGGTTCAAGTGTATTAACTTTTGTACATTGAATCCAGTGGCCTTCTAAAATTCTTGTTCTGTGAGCCAATGCAGGCTGAAAACATCACTGAAGAAGTAACTACTTTGATGAAATATGAAAAATTAGCCATGACAGAAGCTAATTAGTTTCCTCTTGTATCTGCACTGGTTTTGCCCAAGATTCAGTCTTGTTGGGAAAGAACAGCATTGCAAAGCAGGGAGAAGGAATCTAAACCAAACCAAACCAAAACAAAACAAAACAAAAAACCAGCCTCCTTCTAGAACTACTACTTTATTCCTTTAACAGATAACACTAGAAAGATTTGCTAATGACTGCTCTTCTAAGAACACAGCAAGAAATCAACCAATGAAACTCAGTAAGTGGGAGATTCTACCACACAACCTGGGTGTACTGTGTTGTTGTTCACTGCAGCAGGAGAAATTCAAAGCTACAAGAAGTAACCATGATCTGTGTGTGATCCACTGTCTACTGAAGTCATTACAAATATTTAAATTCCCTAATCACATCTTAGATTCCAGCCACTAAAGAACCAATACCAACCAAACTATTATACCATGGGATAAAATAAAACAGTGCAGTGTCAAAATTTACAATTGTGACAACATATAAAATTGGCTGAAATGAACCCATTGCATTTTCTCCTTTAGCTATATCTGCCTTATGAAAATTATTTCAATGTTTTATTTTTCCCCTAAGCTTTTACTTACCCGAATAAAGGTTTTTGTTGTTCCTCCTCTTCTGCTACTGAAATGCAGCCCTGATAACTCTATCGCTAAGTGGCTGAGTTGGTCTGAAGTTATCTCCTAAGATTCCATCACAGCCCTCTAAAAGTTCTGCACCTTTAACATGTGTCCTCAGTCTACGAAATTCCTCTATCTGAAAGGAAGAAAAAAGGACATGAAGAAGCTGAGATATATTCTTCATGGTGGGACTATTAATCAAAATCATCCTTGCCCACCCACTTCTGTGGCTTTGAAACCTGGGCTGTTCAGGTACCGTATAATAAGGTCAATATACATCATTAATAACATTTTTTAATAGTTGTCAGCACTGACAAAATGTTTAACACATAGAGAAAAAATATTAACTTGGTTTGGCAAACTTATCATTTACTTTTTCACAACTTTTTGGGGGATTTATAAACTTCTTAGGCATTGTAGATTACATTCTACAGAACAACCTCACAGTTGCAACATGAGAGTAATCACTCTGGTTTTCTTCAAAGAAGTGCATTTCAGGAATAATTTGGTCAACTATAAATAGTTTTCCATTTTTTTCTAGTGAGTTATTTACCATCTGAAATGATTGCTTCATTTAAATAAAAAATATTTTCTAAACCAGGAAAATTCTGAACAGACTTTCAGCTTTAGAGGAAGTCTGCTGACATTTTATATGGAAAAATATTTTTTTTCACATCAGAACAAAATACCACTTCAACATCTCTGTAGAAGTAGGTGCTAAGTATACTTAGAAAATTAAAACAGTCAGAAATCTATATAAAATATTTCAATTAGTCCAAAACTACTATGGTTCCAGTTTATAGACACTTTTTCTAAATAAAAAAAATGTAGGGAAGAATGTGAACAGCTTCCATCTCTATCCCTGGTATCAGCTCCAAACTCTGCGTGATAAAAGAACTAAGGAAATAAAAACTAAGGAAATCTCAGTAAGATTATACTTTATTGTTCAACAGTGCTGTTTTTAAGAGATTGGTATTTTAAAAAAAGTAGGAGCAACTACTAAAAAAAAAAAAAAAAAGTGTTTGTTTTTGCTTTGGCATATTGATTTATCTTAAGTGGATACAGCAAACCTACTTGAAGGCTGACTCCCCTAGCCTGAGCCTTTGTACTTGTACTGACCCTGTGATGCCTCACTACCCAGCTCAGCTGTAGCTTGAAACTGAAGCTACACACAAAGCAAAACGGAGCCTGAAGTATTTAATCATTATATCATCTAAGAAATTATAGAGACTTAATTTATCCAGGAAAAACACATTCTGAATGATTACAGAGAGAATGCAAGTGTGATTCCAGAATTAAAACAAATGAGGTACTAAAAAGCAAGTAATGGCAATTTTATTCTTGTATTGTCTGCAGAGAATACTTTCTTACTACAACCTGGAAGACAATTGCATTCATTGTTGTTTTCCACTCTACAGCAGAACTGATACAGACTTATTTACTTGATTTAGAGGCTATCTCTGCTCTGCTGTAGTCTCCTCAAAAAATAGCGTGCTGAGAAATCAACACTCAGCTTCTTGGAGCTGAGATGTGAGGCAACTGCTTAGACTGAAAAGATGAAAAGCAGAACACACTGTAAAGCTCCTTGGAGGTGCTTTTAGAGACAGAACTCTATGTTGGAACATGGTTTGTTCGTTAAAAGTAAACTGAAAACAAACCCACTACAGATTTGGAACTGAAAAAGTGTTCAGGAGTCAAGTGCTGGTAAATCACTGAATGGGTTTTGTAAAGTTGCCCTCTCTTACCATCTGAATCAACTCTGCAGAGACTGCAATAATTGTCGTTTAGGAAGGAGCATGTTGCAAGAATGTGGCTTTTGTTTGATCTTTTGAGAATGAGAGACTGAAAACAAACACAGTGTGCGCTGTCTCCTACAATAACTACAAATGCCCTGCCCCAGTCTCCACAGTGAAACCTTTGGGAGCTACTCCTCACAAAGCAGCTACCAGTCTCCTCAGTCAAGAAAGCAGGACTGACTTGATCCATGTGCCTTTAGTCTACAGAGAAGTCAAGAATTGCAGCCCTACTACGAGGCAGAATGGCTTCTGAGCCCAACAGCCTCCTTGTTCAGTCTCTCATGTCCGGGTTCACAGCCCCATGACAGAGACCCTCCATGCACATGGTGGTCTGCCTCAATCTTGGGAAGCAATTGTGAGGAAAGTATAGTAGCTCTGCTGCCACTACTTTCTGTCTTAAATTTCCATGTGATAAAGCAACAGCATGTGTGCCCCAATCATCCTGCTTCCTCTAATATGGAACCATTTATTATCTCCTCCCAACCCCTCTCAAGTCATTGCTGTGAAGTACACCCTGTAAGTCTGCCAAGGAAATGGGTTTTTCAGAGGCATATAGCTAAACACTCTTGGATAGCCACACACTTTCAACAGGAATAGCTATTTATAGAAGTTTATCTAAAGCCCAGAAGACACTAAGAACGACCCAGGCCTGCTAGCACCGAAATTCAGGATACAATTCTAGCCAGTGAAATACATAATGTTAACACTTTTACTGAGTAAAAATAAAGTTATTTTTTATTTTGTAGAATTTTGCAAGAATGTTTTAACCACTTTCCTGTATTCAGATCCTGAGTACTCCTTTCTTTTGTTTCACTTAAACATTTCCAGAACACACAGGGCAAAGAATTTGCATGTTTCTCCAAAAACATTTCTTCTAGATGAGAAATAGAAGCATTACGCTTTTTTGAAAATTTCAGATGCCTCCATGACACCTTCCAAGAACATAGACCTGTTTCCAGTGAACAGAATACTGTGAACCTCTCAGAGTGCTTTATTTTACAAGCTACATAAATTCTGCACAATTCCCATTCCAGCTCCATATGCTCATTACTATTTCTGTCCTTTATGAGGTCTTGATTTTGAATGAGGTTGACAAAAGGATTAGAGACTTCACTATTCAATACAAAACCAGTTAACTCTGACAATGACTACAGAAGAATGACAGCTTCTTGCTGCATCATTGTTTGAAATCCCTACTCTGACTGACTTAAACAACGTACTTGTTCTGGGCTTCAGCAAACCACAAAGCACATTATTCACATATGTCCTTTTTTCTTTTTTAAATATAGTGGAGAGAAGCATGAGCAAGTCTTTTTCAGTTATTTCCTTCTCTTTACTGGCCTAATAGGAGTGTGTTTTCTATTTTCTCCCATTGCATTTCAGCCATGTACATGCATTGGTAAGGTGTCACACAAAAGAAGTCAAGACAGTTCTTTCTGGGCTGTATATTTCGACATAGGACAAGTGAGGATGATAAAAACCACAGAAGGCAGGAATATGTGAAAAGAGCACTGCAGGGGGCAGCTTTCCAGACAAGTTCCTTTCCACCGAGTTCAGGAATAAATCTCCAAGACCCAGATTTGCAAAGCCCTTATTCTCCAGGGGAGAAGAGTTGCCTGCACACTTTATCCAGACCTCACAGAACCACCCATGAAGGAAACGGCTCTCTGATGGAAAGGAAGCCTCCTGTCAAAGAAAATTACTTCCTGTGAGGAAACAGCACTGGATACCAGGAAAGCACATCCTGATGCTGCAGACCTGGCTTGCTCTTTTGCTATTTATATAACCAAAACACTCCTACCCCAGTTGCTGAAGTGAGGTGCATATGGAGGTGAATCTCCTTTTACTTAACATTGATTTAGACCAGCAGCAAGCCAACTCAGCAGTTGAACCTTACTATCTATAAATGCCTTCAGGAGAAACAGAAAAGGGTTCTCTACTTTGCAATGGTCAGACTATTATGCCAATGCCAAAATAGTTACTTCTCCATTGTTTCAAAAGAAGCAAATGGGAAAATATCTAGATGTGACCATGAAATAGCATTGTAATTTTATTCATTTTTTACCCTTATGACCCACAGTTTGTTAAGCTAATCAACATTCTTATATTAATTACTTAAAATGAGAATGTGAATGAGCATCTTGTCTCCAATATATTAACTAGCTTCATCTGAGGAAGTCAACAAAACCCATTCCATATCAGAGTGTATTGCTCTTGATGGTTATTTGTTATTGACACTCAGAAGTTGATTATTTTACAGCCTGGAAAATGAAAACATAAAGCTTTGAATTTGTCTCTTACTGGCTATAACCACAGATGCTGCTGCTATTTGTGTAAATCACTTGGAAGTTTCATGAGCTGTGTTCATTTGTACCCCACAGAAGAAAGTTCTGCAAGTTAGTGGTACATGTAAAAATAAGGTCTCTAAATCCATTAGAAATGAATTGGCACTGAAATCTATGCTTTAATACTACAAGGAGACTTAATAAAATTAAATGCCTTTACCTGCCTTCCATGGATAATCTGAAGGGTATATGCTCTGCTACATCCTCTTGTTTTCCATAGACAAAAGCTCTTGCATTTCTATCTCTCCTATCTCTCATAGGCACTCATGCCCACATGCACAAAAGAGGCCAGATACTTAAATGTAGCCAAAATGCTAAATACAAGACAAAATCTTGGATTTCTAGGTTATAGCAAAATATTCTGGCACCCTCCAACTCTTCTTTTGGGCATTCTGGAGAAATCTGAGTCTCTTTAGAGTTTAAAATCCCAGAATCACTGTCTTGCAATTACTTGGCTCCATATTTATTTTCAATTGACATCTGAAAGGTATATCTGATGCAAGTAAAATTTCCTTCATGTTCTTAACAAGTGTCTGCTGCATAATCTTGACTTTAACACTGCTGCATTCATAACTAGTAGTGATGATTTCTTTTTCTAATAGATGCTGATCTGTAAATATAAAGTATGGTGGATCATCTTGGCATAAGTCCACTGTCAGTCTCTCACTCTGCTCCAGTGCCACATCTCACCTGCATACTGTGTCAGTGGCAGGTAAAAAGCCCCTCCATGACTTTACACCCTCAGTCACTGCAATATTGCTGTTGGATTGGGTTTATACCAATCAAAGTGATGCAGCAACACAAGCCAGATGACCCTCACCTAACAAAGACCATAGTTATGAATCACAGTCTCTTCCCCAGGGTCTGTAGGGCACTCCTTTCCCCAGGCATAATGTTCCAGAGACTTACCTTATTCACATCGCTTTCCAAAATCTTGTTTATTAGTGGTAATCGAGCACAATATACTAACAAAGTTGTGTTTCGACTTAATTTCTCTTTCATTCCCCCTCTCACTCTCTCCCACTATGTACAGTGGCTTGAATTCTGTCCCACTCTGTGCATCGACTGCATTAAAAGGGAACAGAGACTACAAAAACTATGGTCCTTATACTTCTGACTAAGTCTTCTCATTTATCCATATCATACCTGCACAATTAGCTGCAAAGTTATGCACTCTTGTCTTTAAAAGCTATTCTGAATCTAATAATGCCAACAGAATTCTGTGTCCTTTTACTCAGCAGTTCACAGCCATAACACTTATCTTTTCATAAGCAAATAAATACCAGGTTCATGATGGGATACATTGCAACTACCATACAAATAAGCTTATTGGGAGCTATTACTTTTAGCCTACAATTAGAACTAGGATTTGGCTTCCATATGAAAAGAAACACTGTGCCAACTTCAAATTGTTAAAATTTTAGGTGATTAAAACTGCAATAACTTAAAGCTTAATTTATCACCTTTTATACTTCACTCCCATTTGTTTGCACATGCTTCAGAGCAAGCAATGAAAAATAACACATTCAGCTTCAGGGATTCTAGATAGTTTCACTTAAATCAAACCACATTCCTCCAGCTGGGATTCACAGACTGTGGGAGAATAATCATCATAAGTTTTCATTGTTTTTACTGGGATTATTTGAAGACAGCTGAGGCTGTCTATGAAATGTTTACTATAGAAAGGCTCCCATATCTGTTTATAATTTAAAAAAACCAACAACCCACCACTTTAAAATACACATGTGAAATAAAATCTAAATAGGTAGTTTTCATTTGACATTTATAATAAAACAGAATTTTAAAAGAGCAAAATAAGTTAAATATAGTTCAACACAATATAGATAGCCTGTACTATGTTAACATTTTTCATTCTGCAGGACATAGTGTCTCCCTGCACTTTTTTGTTCCTTCAACATCAAAAAGCAATGATATTTGAAAGCTTACAATTACAAAGAACTGAATTTCTTTTGCCTATTGACTTCTTTCTTTTTCTTTCACTTAAATAAAGAATTATTTTAAATGCAGATGATAAATGATAACAAGGTTTTTCATCTCTGACCTTTGCATTGCTTTCAGGGACTCAAAAGGCTTAACCTTTACTTGAAAAGCCGTGTACTGATCTAATGGGATCTTCAAGGAGAACAGATATAATGCCCTGAAATATATATATATTTGCACGCTATAACCTTTAGCTCATAACCATATTCCAAGGTCACTTCAAGCACAGCTGTTACCTGCACTTGGGACACAGTCAAAGGATAGCGAAATAATATCCAGGTGACACCTTCACTGCAGGGTGGAATGGTCAGAGAACCCTCATACACCCAGTAGTCACGCAGAAGAGGATCTGAAATTAAAAGAAATGTGAAATTTTAATTACATTAAGGGAGATGATTGTCTTCCAATGATGACAGTTTGTCATAGCCATGGACTTGCCCATAGGATGAGGTTAGTATGCAGTAAATTAAGGTGCAAATTTACAACCCACCAAGCACTGTCCACTACTTTCTCATGTGAACATACATAAGGTTCTGACCATTATATTACAGAAGCTTCCTTTTGCAGATGAGTATTTTAAGGATGAGAATGCTACTTTGCAGATGTGTAAAATAATGTGCACTACTTCTTAAACTAACACAGCAATTAAATAATATGGTGGGAAATAACTCCTATTAATGTTAAAAGCTCCATCCCATTTTTAAGGGAGAGGGCTTATGGTGATCAAATTTTAAGTGACTTCTGCATTTAGGATATGTCTCAAGGATGAATTTTTTTCATTTTTTAGAAAAATTCAGTGAAAATAGCTCAAGCCAAACTTTTCCATTCACAAATCTGGTGACATTTTTCAAGATGCACCGATGTCTCCTAGCTTTGGAAATAGGAGGGTAAAATCACAGGGAAAATAAAAACAAGGTTTATTTAAGAACAAACTTATTTTTAAAGTTTCTAAACATTTAAATAACTGCTAGAATAAACAGTTGTCTCTCAAAAAAAGTACAACCATTTACCCAAGCAGAGTTTCATCTCTACATGCATGCTTGACTACAATTATTTTAATTTTAATTCCCCAGAAATTCCAGTCACATTACACTTCAGAAGTGAAACTACACGGGGCTTCCCTTTGCTGCTGTAGGCCACGCTCACAAATGACTCCCTGACACAGCTTCAGAAGTATGTATAGGAAACTGCCTCACTCTAAAAGAGGGGACAAGAAACGAACATTGAGAGGAACTGGATACAAAGGCTGGTTAATCATGGCATGGAGAGCTGAGGGAAGGTTGCACCTAGCTTGACAAGGACGGGATGGGAGGTTGGAAACTGGAATAAACTTGCTCAGTTGACCTAGCTTGTTACTGCCATTTCACTACTAGTTCAGCAGAGTATCAGTGGAATTAAATCTTGCGAATGAAGCCTGTGATTGTCAGTGGATGGATTTTGTTTTGTTGGTCCAATTCTCTGTCTCAGTTAGGGAACTGCATAGAAAGTCCATTGAAAGCATGTTGCATTGTCAAACACTCAGAAGTTAAGAACTGCAAGAATTAATTCAGCCCATCCTGTGTATGCATTGTGACATCATCTTGATTGTATATATGATCACATATGTCTTTTCTAGAGACCTTTCATCATTCACTTGCAAAGATGAATGGTTTTCTTTTGATAAGCATCTAATGACACTTGGATTTCTCAGTACAACATGTGGTCCTTCGTCTTCTTTTTTACCACACTATTCAAATCCTGCTTGTTAGAAGGACCACATTGTCTCATTTTTCATATTTCTAATGCACTCATTTCTTCAGTGTCTGAGTGCTTCACAAACATGAATTAATTTATCTTTCCAACACCCCACTGTGCTGAGGAAGGACAGATTACCCCCACACTTTAAAGCTGGGGACCTGAGACACGGAGAAGTTAAGGTCAAATGCATCTTTTTATTTGAGGTGTTCAATATGAGATGCTTAGAACCTAATTTCTCAGAGTAGTTAACTTTCTATAGCACTTAATGCAGTCAGAGCACTGCTCCCATTGACTTCAGTTGGAGGTGTAAGCACTCAGCACTTCTGCAAATCAGACCCCATGATCTCAAGTCGAGCACCTAGAAAATGAGGAACACATAGTTAAAGATGACTTATGAAAAATTTGGTTTACGTGACTTGATCAGCATCAAACAGGAACTGTGAGGCCGGGGTCCTGTAAAAATAACTTACGGTCATCCAGTTAACAGATGTATATGATGCATATGCATGAAGAGGCACAGGCAGCCTTAATTCCTGCAATTCCTAATTGCTAAGAACTTGACTTTGCAACCTAAACAGTATTCTTCTGATATAGTTAATATAGTTTAATGTAGACCTGGATTACTTCAGCAAAGTAAAGACTTTTGAGGTCAGAATGATCCTTACAGAAACATTTGTCTCGTAGAACCTTTTTTAAGTTACTTTTTTTTTAAAGAGAAGGTAGAGGAAGTGGTTGTTTCTTACTGTTGCTCTTTAACTTTCAACTGTATGAATTTTAAGTTGTCTCCCATTACTACTCTTTGTATGCTATACAACTGGCACTGCATTATGGCACTGCCTTTTGTTGCTACCAAAAAGCTACCTTGGTAGGTGGGTAACCTTAGCTCCTTCCTTTAAGGCGAAGCAGAGAAGAGTGCACACAGCTCCTCCTCCTAGGCAGGACCATAAATCATCAGGAAAACTGGCCACAGTGTTGCCAGCAGTGCATGGACTACAGTATCACATCCCACTCGGATTTGGAAGTTGCAGATTTATCACAAATTCCAAAGGGACTTCATCCCTATCCCTGTTAGCATCACTAGGTGCAGAATGCATTACCACTTTATGGGACACTCTCAGGCTTGCAGTTTGGCTTTGCTCTAGATCAAGACTGTCTCAGCCTTTGCAGTCAACTAATAATCCGCCCACATCAAAATAAGCAAAGTCACCTACCTGGCAATAAAGAGTTGGGATTAAAACAGGGTATTGTTTTGGACTTTCCCTGAAAAAATGAATACAAATCAATCTCATCTCTGGTTTCTTATTAAAAGGATGATGAATGGAGAGGCAAAACACACTGTGTGTTGTTACAACATTAAGCCTTGAATTCCTGTGCAAAGCAACCTCATTAATAGCCCCCATTTAATCATGAATGCATTTGTTCTTGCAGTTACACAAACATGCTTTTTTATTCTATCTTATATTTTACTTCTAAGGCTATCTCAGCGAATTGTTAACTTTTTGCCTTTAATACCTGGGCTCCTTCCAGGTCCTAGCCTTGAAATACTCCATATGAAATTGAGGGTTCCATACAAAAATGGTTTAAAAAACAAGGGCCAATGTGAGCCCTTTCTTGACAAACATGGATAACTGTTTAATAAAATAAAGCTGGTTTTACATAGTTAATAAAAGAAAAAATATGTATACCAAAAGTATGCTTTATGCTGACCCTCTGAAAGTCATTAGCATAAAATGCTCAAAATTACAAGGACTTTCCTTACCTTCTTCTACCTGGCTGTCCTTTCAGTAAGGGAACTACAGAGTTCCATACTCTATTGTTTTCTCTGACACCTTCATAAGCCATGAGTTTGTAATATTAAACATAGTGACTGAGGTTTACCATAAATAATTCTACTAAAAGTTTTTTAACTCCCCATAGCAGCTTCTAATTTTTCTGCATTTCAGCATCCAGTGAAGTGAATGGCTAATTTTTCCAGACTAATACTGAATGTCTCAATACATCTCAAAATCCTTTAAAATCAAAGGTAGGTATGATTATTTCTGTGCTAGACAGAGACAGGAAGCAGAGAGATGGAAGTAACTTGCCTAAGGTCATTTAGGATAGTATCAACATTCTGGAGAGCACTCCTATCTTCCCAGTCCTGCTAGGCTTATTATCTGTCCTCCAGGGCCCCCACACACAATCCAACTGACAAGGGAGCATTGTGGGTTTTGTTCATTTTCCCACTGCAAGTTAATAAGGCTGCTCAGTTCATCTATTCTTTTCCTCTACAAATTAAAACCAGCTAAGTTTGGAGACACTGCTGGTGTTCACTTAGCATGTTGCAGTGCTTGCATCTTCATGATAGTCACTGAAAAAGTAGCACTTATAATCAGTTACTGCTATAAAAGATCAAAACTTCTGGCCATCAGAAAAGATAGTAAGAATATATTAGTCAGACTATATATTATCTGAAAGTGATGTAAAATTGTGAGCTTCTGATGCAGGCTACCAAACTATGGCTTTCACACTTGCTTTTCCTACAGAGGTATCTGAAACCCCTTATTTGGCTTCCGTGTTTCATATGTATCCTTCACTCTCTCACTCTCTGGTCAGTGAAGGAAGCCTTTCTTCAGACAATGCCTTACCTTACCTTGTACTGGATGTCCTGGAGGATTTCAGTTACAGCCTTTAGGCCTACATGCTCTTTTCCTATCTGAAATACAGCAAGCAAAGGTGAATTTCAGTATTTTACTCTTTCTGAAACTGTGAGGCAAGACAAAGGTCAACCAGAACAGTAAGTTCTGTAGTTCTTAGTTAAGCCACCCAACCTTGTGTTAACCAAATGCACTGACACATGGCAACTCCAAACAAATCACAATAAAGTCACCAGTCAAAAGTAAACAAGGTGTAATAACTTTAAAGCAGAGACAGAAACTCACAGAACAAGAAAAAGAGTCACAGTTAAGTCTGGTAAGTTTTTACTAGCCATGTTTTACAGCATATACTGCATGTGGACTCAAACTCCCGCAGCATTATGGCGTATAAATGCCAAGGATATGGTTTGTCCTTACCAGGTTTTGTCAGAAAAGTATAGAGAAAGAAACAGAGTGAGAAAATGCAAAAGACACTTGCAGAATTTGTTCCCACAGCATTGCAAAGCTGTCCCAAGGTATCTCTGAAGCTTGAAAGAGATTTTTTTTTCCTTCCTGCAGAGCACAGATCAGCAGATCCCCTCCCTCATAGCATCTCTGGGATCCTGCTCCCAACAGCCTGCAGCACTGCCTTTACCAGATGTCACATTGTATTGAAGGTACAGAAGATGAAGCTTCCAAAAGAAACCAGTTCTAGAAACAAGCTACTCTTATTTTGTATGAACTTTGCTCACTTATGCTGCTTTCAGCTGTTTCTGATTTACATCACTCATCCTAGGACCCTAGCTTCTACCTTCAGGACAACACTGGCAGAATAAGAAGACTCAGAACAGCCTTCCACTTGATTTCAGTGCCAATGTGTGCACATACGCAGTGGGGAATGAAGAGGCATAAGTAAGAATGGGACAACTGGACCCTGAAAAATTTGTTCACTTTTTGTTCCTCTTGGAATAGAATGCCACAGTAGTCACTGGAAGGAAATGGCTGAATGTCAGCAATACGTAGTTCATCACTTCTAGGAATTTAAGAGGCTTTTCTTCTGTTTCAGAATTTCCATTTTAAAACTTCAAAGTGGCTCAAATATATTGAAATCACTTCAAAGATGCTGTTCCTAAATGAATAATCACCAAGGGCTATCACTTACATGAGTGAAAATATTTTTGTTTACTTTTAAATTATGTGTTTGAGAACCGTGGTGCAAAACTTATTTTATTTCCATGCCTGGTCACTGAATTTCTTCTCCCTGTTCCTTTAATAACCAGCATAGATACTACTTTTCCTTGGTCAATTGTAATTATATGATAACTTTCTTGACTAATGAAAAAGCCCTTTGGAATGCCTATGAACTCTGATGAAGGTGAGAGACCAGAAATGGAAAATATACCATTGAAGTTTCAGATTTATTTAAGAACTTATATATAACTTTGTAACTAACTTGAAGGTTACCTCTGCTAGAATTAGAAGGTGACTTACACAAGCAATTATCAGACAGCCCTCTAGGATACAAAACTGAAGACCTTCTAACTTCCATTTTTAGCAGTTCTATCTGAGTGTTGGGGCTGTAACCAATGTATATTTAAATTCAAACAGAGGTAAAGTTCAAAGGCATTCATAAACTCATTATGGAATATGACAAATTAATAATATCACTGTGAAATAAAATACATTTGAACTAAGCATGAACTCTAAACCCTTTTCTCCAAACCCATTTAAATAAAACACTTTGTCATTTCTCATGAGGAGGATGAGAACCTGGAGCTTGAAGACTATAACTGAAAAACTTCTTCATTGGGTGCAGCCCTCGAGAAACCTTCAACAGCAATTACGTTATGGGGCTGACTTGCATTACACCTTCTCCCCAGCAAGTTTTAATCTTTCTGGTTGCAGCCTTTTCTGAGGGAAGACTCCTTAAACTCTCAGTCTGCTATCTCCGAAGATGTACTATGGCTCCCCCTCACATTTGTCCTGGGTAAAGAAACACACTTGTCACTGTGTTCAGAAAACACAGTCCTACGGCAAGTTTTTGGCTGTGCCAACGGGTTAGTATTTTGGGTTTTTTCCCTCTTTCCACATCTCTTCTGTGTATTTCCTTAATCCTCGAACAGCAGGCCTGGCTAGCAATGGAGAAAAAAACATTGCAGAGGTAGTGAAGTACCTGTACATCCTGACAGCCCTCATTCTGCCCTCAGAGAAGTGGAGAGTGGATGTCTGCTTATAGCCAGAGTCAGAGACAGTTGGCCAACTATACATTATGCCTTCTTTAACTAACATACTTCCAATACCCTGTTTAAACAAGAATTACTTATTGACCAAGAAGTATTTTTTGAATAGAATTCCAGCAGTCGTACATTGTTTTATTTTATGAAATCCTTAAAAATGAAAGAAAATTGAAAGAAATTGCTTTCCTCAGACAAATGATAGTGCAACAGAGGAAACTTACCTGCACAAATAGAGCAATAATAGCTATGCCATGCTTCTTCCCTACTGCCTCATCAATGCTGCTGTACAGTGTGGAGTTCCAGTGCATCAGATGAAGCTAAAACAAAGCAGTACAAATAAGCCAATAGAGAAATATACTTTGCAATAAAAAAAACAACATCAGTTAATGTCAATTAACAAAGCCTCAGCGTGTGTGTGTGCATGCGTGACTGAACATATGTGCATGTCTAAGGCTGTGCATATAGGTATTACTGGATTCCTGATATAAACATGAAGAATCCCAAGAAAGAAAAAGGTCAGCTGCAGAGAAAGTGGTGTATAGCCAGTTACCAAATATCTGCACCAAAGGTATGAATAACGATGTTAAGGATGCTAGTGATGATTTACCAACTCCCTCACTTTGAATACCTAAATTATGTAGTTAATGAAACTTATCAGTGCTGCCTCCCAGCCAGCCAGCTCTCTTCCAAGGCAGGAGTATCATTATGGACACAGGCTGTCCAAATACATGTTTGACTGGCTGACTGTACTATATTAATGTCACTTGTTGCCCATATCACCTCCCTAGATGAGTTACTCAAATGTCAGTTGTTAAGAGTAGAAGTGATTTCAGGAAAGGTTAAACATAGAGAAAGTCAAGCAGAGAAAAGTGGCTGCAGGACCACCCTGGTGACAGCAGTGAAAGAGACTGGAGAGGGAACCATGAGCCCCCTTCTGCCTTCTGCAAGGTAGTTAATGCCTGCAGGAGTTAATGCATGAACACATATCAGGGGAGGGAGGGGAAAAGAAAAAGTTCTGGAAGACAGTTGGAAAGGGAGGGAGGGGAGGAGGGAAGGATTGTAAACACAAGTTTTTCAATACTAATGCTAAAATGTAATCTCTGTGGCTCAGTTTGATAATATTGTAGAGCTTCAACATCATAAGCACAGCCAATCTGAAGTTTATCTGCCAACAACTTTTGCACACTCCATACAGATAAAACAGCTAAAAAGATAGAAACTCCTAAATTTAATTCCTGTTGTAAAATTGTGATTAATATTTTGCTCAGTCACGGGTCTAAGAAGTTAAAATGTCACCCTGTTACCTAACATTGTGTCCACCTTCAGCAAAATTAGTTTTTAAGATGCACAGTGTGTCTTCCTATTTTGTGTTTCATTTCTGCCCAGTAACAGCCTCTGTGAAATGCTTGCTGCCCCTTACATGGGAGGAGTTCACTCAGGCATTTCAGCATTTCAGAAGACCAATTCCTCAATCCCTCTCCCCTTATTTAGTCTCCAATAATAATTTTGGGCATACCTCTTGATGATTTTAATTTCAGAAGTCAATATAAAATTTTAAATGAACATATTGCACATCAAATTAAATTCCACATTATCATACAAATAATTATATTCATGCTGCTCAAAGGCATGTGCTGTGCTAAAAACACAAAACCTTTTTATTAAAAAATATAACCATTCATTTGCACACCAGAAAACTTATACAAACGTATTTGCCCATGGCTACAAAACTTTTAGGCATATAAATGTTCCCTGTTATAACTGAGCTATCTCACTATCACCAATGCATTTACTTGGAGCCATGTATTTTATCATCTATCAAAAGTTTTGTTACGCATATTATTTGCTTTTGGCTTTTAAAGAAATAAAACCAGAGGATCAAAGAGAGAGATTTCAGCCTCCAAAACTCACTTTATCATTGAGAACTAGCACCACCCGAGAAAATCAAGCCCAAAACATTGCGTTTTCCTAGACGAGCGTTTGCATCAGCCATCACTAGAGGGGGCTCAAGGAGTCCCACCAGCCTCCCCAAAACCCTGACCATAAGAAGGGCAGCGAAAAGAACGAGGCTGGGGTGACTGCAGTCGGGATGGCAAAGTCCTTGGTGCAGCCAGCACAGGGCTGCGTGGCACCACAGCTCGGTAGGTTGGAAATGTCGCAGCAAACTTGGCCGGTGGTGGCTGCAACAACAGCACTGAGGGCGACGGCCACATGTAAAGTGACCATGACCCCAAACGTGTCAACGGGCAGGTCTCGGCTAAAGCTGCCATGGCATTCAGCATGTTATGCTCCTGTGGAGGTGAGGTTTAATCTGACATTTGTCTGAATTCTGACAGCAGTGGGGGGTTTTTCTGAAGATTTGAAAGGAAAATGCTGAGCCCCAGCAAGAGGAAAATGACCAAGTGCTTCAGAACATACCAGCAACCACAGAATCGTACCACAGAATGGTCTGGGTTGGAAGACACCTTAAAGATCATCTAGTTCCAAACGCCCTGCATGGGCAGGGACACCTCCAGCTAGACCACGTTGCTCAAAGCCTCATCTAATGACCCCAGTTTATCCAGAAACTGGCTGTTGCCCTGTCTCAGGCAGCCAGCTCATCAAGGCAGAGACTTTCACATGATAAGGCCACATATCAGATAGAAAAATTAAACCAAAACCTCTGTGTAATAGTATAAAACATTAAGAGGTCTAGAATTAGTCTGCACAGCAGCATAAGCAGCCTGAGAGGAAGACAGGCTGCAAAACACACTCAGGGGCTGAATGAAAGGGGGACGGACCACAGACCGAAGTGCCCTGCAGCTGGAACTGCTTCCCAAGGAACATACCTGCTGGCCAGCATATCTTCCCACACCTCCATGGGACATCATGAGAGGAGTAAGTTAAGTATTAGCTACACATTTTAAGGGTGTCTTAGGTCTCTGCATCCCCCCCAGGCCTCCTGTTTTTCTACTAAATTTTTTTTTAAAATGTAACACAAAACCAAAACCAGGGATATACTTTAAGGCTAAGGTAGACCCCCCTAAACTAGGTTCAGTTTTAGTAATCAGCATTACTAAAGGTACTGTCATAAACACAGTGGTGCCAAGATAGTACCAGCAGGTTCATAAATGGATTAGACGAGTTACGGACAAGTGCAAAAACAGACACTGAAGAAAACAGGTAGAGGTGCTGCCTTCAGCACTCCTAGTCCTATGGCAGATGATTCTGGTCGGGCTCATGTGCTTCCTGTGCAGCACCCTTTACTGACACTGCTAGGGACAGGATACTGGATGGACCACTGCCCTGATCTAGCAGTGTATTTATTATGTTCCCATATTCTGAATCAAGGTGATAAATGGAATAGCTATTCACACACACACACACAAAGAATAAGTTCTGCCATTAGGGATTTACAGACTAAAATTAGTCAGGTAACCTAATGTAAAATAATAATTAACAACATCATATTCCCTAACAACAGGTCAACAGGCCTCACATCTTTTGCTGCTAACTCTGGTAAGCCAACACATGCACACTGAAAGAAATAAACAATATCAACATGCACTTCTATAAATGGAAATCAAATCAAATTAATTCTTCTACAGAGCAGAAAAAACATAGCTCAGATATGAACTAGGTGAGTAAATGGAAAAGTGATTCAGAAAGGGAAATATTAGCAAATATTAAGGTCTGAGTGTTTGGGTAGCAAAGTTCTGCTTTCAAATTGTGGTTTATCCTCTGTGTGGTTTTCTGGAGCTGTTCTGTCTTTTGTTCACTCTTGTTTTATTTGTATTATAACATCAGATGAAAACACCAGCTAACAGCTTAAAAAAAAGAAAGACAAAAAAGTCTACAAACATTACAAACTTTGAACTCCTGAGAGCAAAATCCACAAACAACATGGCCTGTAAATCTTGTTAATATTTATGGGAATCAGATGTGCACAAAGGAAAGTACTTTTACAAATCTCTAAACTGTCAATTCCATATAATACAATGCCCCCATATACTGACAACTTCATACCTATGCACATGTATCTTACAAGTAGCAATAGACAGGCTTATTAGATTAACACTCTGTATTTTGTTTTACAATTACTTGAGTTTTACAATTACTTGGGACAGCTATATAAAAATTGCACACCCACAAGGGGTGCCAGTCTCTGATATAAATACAACCATGTGGGTTGTGTTTTTCTTTAAATAATCAGCTGGTGTGTATTGGCAGCTTATCATTGCGTGGTTTTCATTCAGAATGCAAATAAGCTGCACATGCCAGTGTGGCAGGAGAGGCTTTTCTCAACTTACTAGCTAATGTTCTGATACTTGGGAGTTATGATGGTTCTATACAGTCAAAATGAGTCAGATATGCTGTCACCCATTATCAGTGGCTCACTCAGCAAGCCAGACAGTATATTTTTAGAAAAAAATCAGAAAGCTCTGAGAAACTCACAGCTTAGTACACAAAAAATACACACATTAAAAAAACAAACAAAAAAAAAAACCAACACCTTTTTACATTCCAGCTGTAAAGCAAAAAATTGTAGCAGCAACTTTTCAAAATCACATAGACTGAAAACTCATAAAATGCTGATAAAATTTGTTTGTTCTGTGAACAGCTGGAGAAACTCTTCTTCACAGGAAAGATTAAGAAATGTTTCCAGGTATCAGAGCAAGCCCTGCAGAAGGATAATTCTGTATAGAAAAAAATTCTTGGAATCTTCTCAACTTTCATGCAGTCCCCATTCAAACAATAGACTTCTGATCCCAGTCCTAATGCCCTTGCTTAGGAAAAGCTGACAGTAACAAAGGACCTGTCTCAAATCAAGACTTCCTCAAAACTGAGCAAGGACCTGAGATTCTGGCTTTAAAATCAATGAACAAATGATGAAAATCCTACACTTAAGTCCATGTATTTTGTGTCAATATGAAAACAAAAAGCTTCAGGTGGTAGATTTTTAGACAGAATCGGAGTCCCTGGGATGACAGATTCTGCCCAGCAGTTTGGAGCAAAGCACCATGCCCACACCTCACTGGAGTCAAGGGGAAATGTGC